CATCGCCGAGAAGTTCGTTGAGATCACGTTATGAGTGTGCCGCCTTCCAACATTTCTCGAAGTAATAGAGAATAATTTGGCGTTTATGAAGATGACTTTCTAGACCTATTTCTGTTAAGGAAAGCGAGAAGATTATTTCTACAGAAACCCCAAACTCAAAAGTTTGATTTCATCGAAAGAAAAGAAGCCACGAAAAAATTCGCAATAATTATGCATCAACTTATTATATTCGCCTTGAATGCTCTCCAAAAACCCTATTAGACCTCTGTTGAACTTGCATATCAGAATCCAGCAAGGGTGAGTTCTTTGTACTCTGCATCCTGAACTCAGTCCTGCCGTGCCGTGACACTGTGACCTTAAGGCTGCATGGGGATTTTGAGATTTACAAGGTAGCTTCGATCTTTTCTCATGTCCCTCCCCACCCCTCTCTTCCATCTACATGTGAAAGGAGCAAAACAATGAAAGGGTATTGAGAATGAGCGGTTTTCTGCTCGACGATTTCTCGTTGGCACCTTTACAGGAGAAAAGGTCTCTGAGGATGTTTTTCTGCCTTTATCTGTCATCCCGCTATTATTGCATAATATGAGGCGCATTGTAACAAGACCTGCAACCTAGTCTTTTCAGATGCCACCCACTCACATATTCGATTTGCCGCCGGAAATTATCGTCAGAATTCTGAAAGAAGTGAGCTGATCGTTGTATTTTTCAGATAATTTTGAAACCTGCAAGGACGTCGCGAAATCACAGTTTTGTTCCATAGTTGTAGACCTAGGACAGAAAATTCCCATGCTTCGCTATATCTAATGCAAGACTTGGTCAGAGAGAACCGGCCGGCATACGCAGTGCACTCGAACTCGGTCTAAAACAGTGGAAATAAATAAATTTGAACAGCCGGTTCAGATGAGATCGTATTCTGTTATTAAAATTTAGGAGCTCTTTTATAATTTACACCTAGAAGCAGATCTGTACACACGAAAGGGATCTCCTTAAAGTTTGCATGGTCATTCAATTCCCAGATCTGGTCATAACTGGAGTGCACAACGTTACCCCAAGATCCGAGAGCCGAGTACTCATGCTGAGTGCTGCAGGATTCTCAGACCACGTGCGGAAGACCCGATTCAGATAGAACAACGTCTTATAATCATTTGACGTGACCTGCTTTCTTCCACAAAAGCGGCGGAAGTGGTGTAGTGGCAAGTGGCGCACTTCACACATACATGGTCATGGATTCGAATCCCGGCTCGATATCGCCCTAGGCGAACCAAGCCCTCCGTCCCTCCGGGTTCGGCTAATTGGTACCAGGCTCGTCTGGGAGGATAAAAGCACCGACTTGTTTATCGGCTGGCCACCGCAAGTCATTGCATGGGCCACATACGCATTCAATCCGCTTCTACGATTCTGAATGGAAGTGGAAAGCGTGGGAGGGTCCCTCAGGAGGGTTTGATCAGAGCCCCAAGACTTTATACTTTGTCTTTTTACTCCCACACAAATGTGTGAAATGAAACGCCATACAGGCCACCATGAGCTTTTGTGCGAGTACGGAATCAGTAAACACGTATGGTCTCTCAGGATGCTGGCTAGTCATTGCCTACATGCGCAAAAAGCAAAGCCGTAGTGGATCGAGAGCCTGTGCTTGTTCTTACGTAGACGACAGCTTTGTCATTCTACCAAGAAGGGAATGGACACGTTCTCTCAGTTGCTGAACAATCAAGCTAACAGCATTCGATTCACTCGGGAGAGGCCCAAGGACAAACTGCTACCTTTCCTAAATGTGCACATTCAACTTGAGCGCGGGTTCCTGCCGGCCAAAGAGGTATAAGAGACCTACCAGCAAGAATACTTTCGTCCATTCCATGTTGGCGCAACAACTCGCAATCAAGCGGACTGACAAAGCGAATATGTTTGAGACGGCAAAAATGGTTTCATGGGGTGAACGGGAGAAGGCAGAATCTGTGGAGTTCACTCAAAAAGTGGCTCTCGCTGATGGGTATCCGTACTAGATCAGCCAGTAGTAGACGACCGGCCGAAAGTTCGGATAAGGTACTTTTGTCTTCAATTCAGTTAGACTTCGACAGTTTTGAAGTGAGAACAGCTCTGCACAAGTGCGGTCTTGGTGACATGCGTAAGTGGTCGAAGCTATTCCTAACAACAGGCAGAAGCTGGTTCAAAAGCATTTATTATGGCCGTCTGCGCATTACCCCAGCCTGTGTCATCTGCCCCAACTGGCAAGAGGGTGATTGCATGGCGTCAGAGATGATACGCTTGATCGCATTCGAGCTCTGCGGAGACGAATACACAGGTGAGAACGGACGGCCTTCACTGTGCATGGTTAAAAAACCCCAGGTTGGCCTGAAGGGTTTAGGGCCTGAAAATCCTCTGGTCGACCATCGCAGACACTGCGTAGAAACGTAGAGTTTGATGTCTCAGCCAGGATTTTGATGCGGCAGCCCATGGCCTCCGTGCGTGAAACTTGGGAGCACCCATATTGGGGCGAAAAATCGGAGAATGAGATGGAACGGTGAACGTCCTGCCATGACAAATGAACTGGTCGTGTTCCTCGACCAGTGAGGGTTATAAATGGTACCGGCTTCAATCTGGGGGCCAATTCAACCGTAGTCAACTCACTGCGAAAATAACTGAATAGGCTATTTTAAAGTGGTCTTCTTCCACGGCGGATACCCATTTGTAACCAGCGAGACCTTTCTAGATATCTGGATAGGCTATACATGAGCTGAGCAGCGATTTGAAATGGTGTTCGACAAGGATGTATCTCGAAAAAAAATTTAGCTCCTAGCCTCTGCCGAAGGCGACAGGCCGGTATCCCTGCTAAATGAAACTTTATAACTTTTGGCTGAGGCGACACTCATACATTGAGTGCTGCATGACTTTTCGAGAGTGCCTTTTGGGAACTTTGTGCAAATGCAGCCGACTAATTTGAAAATAACTCAAATAGTCCACGTATTCCAAAGCTCACGATTACCGGGACCCCAGAACAGTACGATGTAGACCTTCATGCAGTGATCAACCATGAGAAAACAGCAGATATATTGGTCTACCCAAAGAGGGTAGACAAACTTGCAGCTTTTCAGATTTTTTCACTGACTTTCTGCAGGGATTTTCGTTGACTATGACGAGATCAATGTCGTACTTGGTATTGTCACCCACAGATGATGGTAAGGGGTAGGACCACCTCTCAGCGTGCAATCTTAATCAATAGCTTTAACGTAAGAAAAGGCAAATTGTATTCAATGATTGAGAACAATTTGGATCAGAAGGCAGAACACAATTCACTGACAATGGCTACTTAATGCCACTGAAAAGGTCTTTCCCCACCTCTAAACGGTAGGCGCCTTTCAACCTGGGTCCCACCGAAGAATTCGACATCAACCAAACATAGAAGAATTCGACATCAATCAAATCTACAAATCCATTTTCGCCGCATACGGAATTACAAGCAAAAAGGCCAAATACCGAATCCCCGTGATATTACGAACTCTCCTTTTGTGGTAATTGTATAAAAGGGAAGTCCTCAAACAGCCACTCAGTGCTTCTGTCCACTCAGATAGGTATAGTGTCACGAATCGGCTCTGACAGGGATCAATGTTTTGTCAGCTTGACTTCTGTTGCATGGGCTTCGATTACAGTCACTACGGTGGTAGCGGTTGTCACTTAGCACCGCCCATAACCGCCTCAGTTTGCAGCATTTGGGCACACAAATGTTGTCATTGAATTCAATTTTTCATAGAACTCAGCTCTTCTTGAGACCCATACCTGTTTGGGAGATAGTTCAAAGTATAAGGTCAACGCGTGATGGGATTAAATGAATATGTCATGATTATTCTCTAATACTGGTCCCCTCCCTGATAATTGCGCGCAGCTCCGCCACGCAGTTACAGGTGCCACACCTGACCTCTCTGTTATTATGTTTTTACTTCGTCTTCGTTTCTGTGCTCCTTATGAGGGCTGAGCTAAAGTTATTGGTATCGAATTCTGGAAGGGTCCATGCAATACTGAAGAAGTTCCACTAAATAAGAATGAGGGCATCGTTCTTTAGCTGGTGTTACTTACCAGTTTCTTTAAAGAGGCTTCGAGGACCTGTGGGTTGCTAAAGGTTTGCGGAATTGGTCCGTTGTGCGGAAATCATGATCAAGACCATCCGTTTGCCCCATCCATGGAACAATATTTACTTTTCGTTATTCCTTTTCATATAATAAAATATTGAACGACCAATTTAGTTTCAGTTGATTCTGATGACATGTAGGCTTTCATTCAGGCAAATGTTCAAAAATCCGGATTTTTGTTGACGCTTGTTTTCCTTTTATAGTAGTTGCGTGTTTATGGTTACGTTTGCTGTGTTTAGTTGGATGAGCAGTCGGTGGGCCGCTTGAAGGTCGTCTCCCGGTACTTGAACACGATCATTCAAAAGCATGGAAGTGTTCTTGCAAAGCAGGCAGTCTACCTGGCTGTATTGAGAGAGGTGAGAACGGCTAATCAGAAACTTCCCGCTTACTTCATCTGTAAAATGTCACGCAATCTTTAGTGTGCTACCTCAATCGATTTTCGCATGTTTTCTTCATAACTGCTTAGTTATTATGAATATGTATGTATATTTCCATTATACTCATGATAATTATAGAAAGAACTCATCGTTGAACGGTTCTTGAGAAGAAACCGGTGGGAAGACTACAAGTATGCGGTTTCCGGCTGGCTAACTGACACTTCTGTGTTACGTCAACTAGCGTATGCCAAAATAGATACGTTACGTTTCCAGGTAGGAACCTACTCTGTAAGAAGAGTACAACCCAATGAATTACGAAGCAACTAAGAATCAGATTAATCCTCATAATGAGGCTCTTGGAGCCTCCTCTATGGGGCATCGTTCCCATCGTAACTACTTTTCTTCGAACTGTAGAGGTGGGAAATAGCCTTTTAGTTCACGTTGTGACGAGGGAGAGAGGCATTATAATAGATCTTATGTTTCAAAAAAGTTGTGCGGTACCAATCCCATCCTGTTCCTAACGTTGGACTGAACTTCTAATTTCGGCGCGTAATGGAAGTAACCTTGAACCTGGTGTAGTTCAAGAAAGTTCGTTGATTTGAGTAGATGGAGCGGTAAACCCTGAATCTCGATAGCACCATGCCGGTCCTCGCAGCTCTGTCCCAAAAACCTTATCATGATACCTCGAATGAGACTGGGCTCTTCCTACCTTTTCTTCAGTTTCTGACCGTAGTTTCCGGTGCCTTGCCCAGAAGACCGGATCTAATTCGTCTCTTTTTGTCTGCACCTAAGTTTTTCCCATCTTGAACAAGAAGATGATGAACATTAGATGGATCAGCTCACAAAAAGGCTAATTGTACTGCTGAAGCCGAATTATCTAAACTCACTTACTAAAAGAGCGATAGGAAGTACGTTCTCAGCTCATACCTCAATGGTGGTTGCCCCTTTCTTTTTTGTTTCTTGGTTGAGTAAAGTAAGCTTGCATGCATAGCTGATCATGTTCCACCTCTACTTATTTATTAGACCGGAGGGTATGAGGCTTTCATCTGATTACCAACTAATTAATGAACAATATGAGTTAAATGGCATTGAAGGGAATCGAAAATACAAAAATGCTGTACATAGAGAGGCAATACAACGGGATACAGAGCCCGTGCAGATGAAAGTTTTCCCAATGAAAAAATTCGCCAAAAGCTGGCTTGGCAGTGTGGAGCACCGAAACTGAGCAACTGAGTGAAGCGATTTCGGTGCCAGAAAAAGGCCATGAGGAACTTCTGTTTGGAGTCATTTTAGACAGTTTCTTTTTTTGTCAAGCGAAGCGCATCAAATATGTTGGTTACCCGAAAGAAATGCAAACATTCACGTGATCGCGGGAATGTGAGAATTTTTCGCCTTCATCATTGACGGAACATGTTTCAGTTTACTTTACCTGAAGACGTTGTGGTCGAGTTGGCTAAACGTCTTGATGCTCTGAAGCTGTCGGTGTTCCAAGTGTGTTTTTCTGGCTGCAAGCTAAGCTCAAAGAGCATCATCAGCCTGATCGCAGTGCTACGACCACAACAAATCTCCATTGAGTTTGATCCCTTCTTCGATGGCGTAACCGTTGAAGCGTTGTGTGAGGTTGACAGTTTTCGAGAGGTATGTGTGTTACTCTATACAAACTGTGGCAACAGAAACTTTTAAATATCCTTGTAACTACGGAGTTTTTGCGAATTGTAAGAATTTCTCATAAGACAGCTGTTAAGAATTTCTCATAAGACAGCTGTCAGATCTGCATTGGAGGCGCAATTCACGACTTTTTTAAGTCGAAAAGTGTTGGGTATTGGTTGAAAGTAGTGCATAGGTGGAGAAGGAGGCGTGAGAGTTCGCCAATCTTGAGAAAAATAAGGCTCTTCGAAAAAGTGAAAATAAGGTTGGACGAGATTACAATGACAAAAATAACGTGGAAGGGGCACTCGGACGAGATTTCACCTGTTGCAATTGCGCAAAGAGCTGACTATATCAACCAGAACTGTACAGAACTGCTTTCCTCTGTCACTATGGGTCATGACAGGTTGTTTGAATTCCCTACATGGGTTCCTTCGTGAGCGGTGCGGCCTCTACAATGCCGGTGAAACTCATCCGAGAACACACACAATGCAATTTTTGAGCCTTAATAACGCCGCAACTCGGCCGTTTTCCGGCCTGACAGCGCCAGATATGGTATACGAGGGATCCTCGAACTCAGCCTATGGGGACATCTAAGAAACCATTTTTGCCGTGAACTGTGCCTTTAATGGATGGGCTCTTATTTCCTCATACGTAACTACAGCATGAATCTGATTGAAGGCACAGATCACAATAAAAATGGTTACTGAGAAATTTCTCTCAGATGAATCTGTGGCGTTCCCGTACACTATATGTGGCGTTGTCAGATTGGTGAAATCCCAGCCTATAGTCGAATTTCGTCCCCAGGAAACTAGAGCGTCGCCCAAATACGGAAGCAGTGCAGGCGGTCCAGTTCTACACATCGCGTACCGAAAATATGTGGACACTTCAAAAAAGCTAGATGTAAACAATACTTTCAATTTCTGAGCCATAGGATAACCACATTCGAATCTACCATTCGAAGTTTCGGATTACCTTGCCTCTCGATGATTTGGAAACTGTAGAAAATTATTTTAATTGATAGATAAATTTATATCGGAAGTATATGGGCACAATTTGAAGAACAAAAATATAAACAAAATTAGAAATCGATATGTGTACTGATTGGCTCGGGCATTCGTGTATTGTCTGACCAAGCTTGGTGATAGTTGCCTCATGGATTCCCTTCCTTCGTTCACTGTTCACTTGTGGCAGACGTTTTGCATGAACTCCTTACAAGTAAAGCTGATAGTTTTCTGTTGTTGACCGAGTAGTTTCTATGAGGTTGTCTGGAAGACAATAATGGATTCACCACAGAACTCACCCACATGCGTAGCGGATAACTTCTACGCTTTGGGATACAATATGAATCCGTAGTTTGCACCACAAGTTTTAATCTATGAAGATTTAGGTCTTCAATTATCAAATGATCCAGCGATTTCAGGTCAATACCTTGAACCTCGTTAATTCTCAAATGACTGACAATAGCCTTGGACTAATCACAGCCGAGCACCTGAATGTCTATGAAACCTCAAAGCTTACCCTCAAAGGTCTTCGTCACATTCTCCTGGTGAGGCTTTTTTCTGAGCCTCTCTTCTTTTTTCGATAAACTCAACCTGCATACCATATTATCCCATAGAGAGTTAAAGTGAAATGATCCTTGCAGGAGTGGTACAGCGGCAAACGAAATATTCAAGACTACCTGTTATCGATATCAGAACGCTTCGTACCCGGAAGAGTTTTCCATGGTCTACCCTCTCGACAACGATCCGTAATAGCATGGGAGCTGAGAAATACTACTGGTGTCTTACATGTCACTATCATTGGTCCAGAATTGAGCTTTGTTAAGTTTTTTGGCATCGCAAAACTCAACTGTCTAACCACGTTTACTCAGAAAAGGTCCTGAATAGCCGTTTTAACGGTTGTGAACTCAACTCGTGCATAGATGTTATACATTGTAAGGTTGTTACTATTTGTTTTTCGTTCTAATTCAAGGTCGGGGTAACAGAGGATTATGATGGAGTTGATTCAGAGCAGTCACCTTCCTCAGCTACATATCTCTTCTACCATTGTCACTCATGACTACTACCAAGTGAGCCATCAGAAACATGAAGTCCTCTGTCTTTTCGAGAGCGAAGCACTGAAATACTACTCAGTATGTGCCCCCTGGGCAGGATCTGTAGCGTAGTGAATGTGATTGAATCATACTGAAGACAGCCCAAATGAGATGATCAATTGGGGAGGCATCAGGAGTTCCTAGGATATGCTGAACTCTCGTCTTATTTCGTTACTTCTACTCACGAATGTAGCAAATAACACTAGTCAGCTTTCTTACAACCATATACGAGTACGCAACCTCAAAGTTTCTTCTGATGTTTAACATACTCATCATCATGTACTGGTTCTTAAGTTATTTCGGATCATATCTCAACTAACTCCTCTTTTTCTTACGAGTACATAGCACATAGGTGTTGACTGTTCGTTTATTGTTGCTCAATAGTATTACCATATGCGCCTTTCTCTTATGATGCTCGAGCTTTTACAGAAATAGTTTCTATATCTAATTACAGGATTGTATAAAATATGAATCGCCAACTACCATCTTAATTCGACACGAAATCATCGAAACTTTATCACACTGATTGCGGGATTGTTACCTGAAAGCCTATCCAAAGGGTGGGCCAAAATCATTATTACAGCGCGCGCTGACGCTCATAACGAATTTTTTCTGAGGTCATAGCAATTCGTTCGCTTTCTTCTATTTCACAAGGTAGATTACATTATTCCCTTCCCGATGATACTAAACTTTTGGTAGATTTTGAAAATAATGTAAGCGTAATTACTCCGAGGATAAATCTTCACTTTGCATTTACAAGCACTTTTGGCGCGGTGCATCTACAGACGACTCAGCGTAACAAGGCAGGGTATATTCAACCATAAGGCGCTTTCAGGAGTTGGGAACAACTACAGATAGGAGTGGTAATCCTAAGAGCCCTGCGAATATATTTAGTGGGAGTTTCAATGAGGCAGGGCAAAGGTCTGCGTAGCAGCGAAGTTCATTCTGAGCCCAAAATCACTAAATGAATTGATATTACATGAAGTTTTCTGCGCGAAATCGTGAAGCATCTCTGCACGACAAGGCCTTCATACGATCAGAAAGTGATTGCCCCACTGAGCAGACTAAAAAGAAGAGAAATGTTGGCTCACCAAAGCTGCCCCGCCGCATAAAAAAAATTGTCGTACGGGATCCCTGTTCGCCGGCGGAAAGATATCCGCAGTGAAGAAGGTGCCCAATAAGCAGGGCTACAAGATTTGTGTAAAGCTGAAAGAAATGGAAGTGATGCAGCGCTAGGCTTGCTCACTTCTTCGTGCGCAGTAGGACACTTTGGCGTTTCAAACCGGGCATATTGTCAAGATGATGCTCCTGGCTGCAGATCAGCAATTGTCTAGAAATTCCGTAAAAGGGGTTCCCTGACTTCATAAACTTTGATCATGACCACTCTGGAGCCCTGGTCTAAATCCCATGGATGTCTCAGTGCGGTCAGCCATTGAGATGAGAGCAACCGTTAGCCCAAACATGAAGTGAAGTAAACTCGAAAATGCCTTGCAAAAAGCCAGAATCAACTCGATGACNTACAGATGCGTGCCACCGACCATGACGTCCATCGTCGTCTCTGGGGTTGGGTGAAAGCAGAAAGCAACAGATCCCAGTCTCAATGTACTGTTTTGATAAGAGATTAGAGATAGACGCTTTGATGAAATTGGTTTGCTTTTTTAGCTTTCTATTCGTTTTCGGGGATCTGATATCTGTGTAATCATAATTTTGGCCCACCCTGTATATAGCATATCTATACTGCGTCTCAAAGGGCTATGGAAGAGGTCATTTACGACTACTAATCAGTTCTTTTCGAAATCACGTCTTCCCGTCTACCTACCATCTTAGGGAAGACGGTTATATCGCTCCGTCACCTTGTCCCTCCCGAAATTCGAAGTGCGATCAAGTTGATGAAGAATAGTACTTCGCCCGGTCCCGAAAGGACCGAACCAAAACATTTATAGAGTCTTCCACCAGTTGCCATCAAAACTGGCCATGCTCGTCATATGCTACCTCCCAGAAAGCAAAATGCCAACGAGGAAAACCGGCAACAATCACTGCTGTATGAGAAGGCAGATTTCGACGAAATTGGCAACCAGAGTATGTGGACTTACGTGCGGCCGAAGATGCGCGCGGCAAATTGCGCGATGAAGTTCGTAACGATTTGAACGACTTTGGCGCTTATCATTGGGGTCCACATTAGAAGTATAGTAATTGGGGGAATCATCTTACCCCACCAAACCATTATACTTCGAGTTTGTGCCCCGAAAATTGGCGACAGTGTCGTACAGATCGTCACGAACTTCGCCGCGCGCAAGTTCCTCGGATGCGCGTAAGGTCCTCCTGGCAACTATCGCCAATCTGCCTGCTGTCTGTAAACCACAAACTCTTCACATGCGTCATTCTCAACAGGATTGTTAGAATATCAGATGAAGGGCAGCCATACGCAAGCAGGGTTTGGGAGAGGGTTCAGTACAATCGATTTTATCCACGTACTTACAAGATTCATTGAGGTATCACAAAAGTGAAAAATGCCGCTATGTCTTACCTTCGTAGACTTGAAGAAAGCCTTCGACACTGTCTAGACAGAAGCGGTGAATAAAGCCCTGGCAATTAGGAATCAAAGTGTTGCTATTCAATACATAAGGATGTTTCGTGAGTTCTACAACAACTTCACGACTAAGATTTCCCTACTCCATAAGGAAGTCACTGTAAGCGTGAATGGAGAGGCACGATGAGATGATACCATTTCGCCCCAACCTTTTCATTGCCACTCCCGAAAACATCATGAGTCATTTTGAATGAAAAGGCTTGGGAGTGAAGGTCAACGGCTGCTAGTTACATCATCTACGCTTTGCAGACGACATCGCGCCTGTAATAGCGAACAGGAGCAGGTGGAACATAAGCAGGTGGAACAAATGCTGACCAATTCGACAGTGCTCGTGGAAAGATCGACTTACCTAATTTTCCCTTTACGTAAAACGGAACGAATATCCCCGTTTGTTCTTGCTACGTGTATCCAAGTCGGAAAGTCGACATTGATGACCGGAGCTGAGCAGAAGAAAACGCGCCGCGTTAGGAGCAGTCAAGAACTTCGAAAGGGTAGCGAAGAAGGCAAAGAACTTGCAAATCCGCTCACCTTTCGTACACTGCTTCCGCTCCCTTTCCGCTTTGACGTACGCCTCGTAAACTTCGACTCTGTGAAAGCAAGGTGAGCATGCAGTCAACGTCATTCGACGCACTGTGTGAAGAACAAAAAACTTCTTTCTATACACCTAAGTGCACAAGAAAACCTAGAGTTCCGAGCTCTCCGTCAACGAACGAACATCAGGCCTCATGCCAAGAAGTCGGAGATCATGTGGGTCCGACATGTTTCGCGATGACCTTCGGACCAAGGCCGTTACTAACTGGATCCTTCGAGACGTAAAACGATCACAAGAATGCCGCATGGGTGAACAAAGTACTCCACCTAAGCTCTGAACAGAAGGAGTGATATGCCTTGTGTCCGTCGAGCGCGGGGATCCACTGAATCACTTGTTTGGAATGGTAATGGAGAAATCAATGACCAACGGAGCATTCCAGATTATATACCTTTTATCCATAGCTTTGCTCTCTTTAGAAAAACGCTCGCTAGTGGTGGGATTCACGTTCTGGGAAAATGGTCATATACTGATTTGTATTGACCCGTTTTATAATTAATCGTCTTGTCACAGCTTCGTTCCTTCTAGATGTACAGTGTTCACACTCAGGGGAACTCAAAGGGATATGATGGGAGGGAATGTAACCATCAATGTTGTTCAACTGATCAATTGATTTCGGTCAGCGTCGATTGAACTAACCGACATGGTTTGCTGTATAACTACAAATTTTTCGTCAAAAATGAGAGAAGGAATGATCGACGTTAGTACCCAAACTTCCAACTTCAACACAAAAAGCAGAGGCGGGCGTGAGCTGAGTAACTTAACTGGTATACATTGTATAGTTCTCGAAAAGTTGTACCCATAAAACGCCCAAAATGCTACTGGGAGACATCGTGCAAAAAGAATGTTCACATCAATACTGCAAAAAACCGGAACACATTTTAATTCATTAAGAGTAAACAACACTGTGTACACAATGAAATCATGCCATTAACAGCGTTCTACTATTCAATTCAACAATAACCTACTCCTATAAAAGAATCACATCTACATATCATAACTTAACTGACAATGATTGGCGAATGTCCAATCATCTACTTCGCATTTTAACACTGCAAAATATCAAACCAGGAACCGCTTCTTTGTTACAACAGAAAGGTGGAATTAGGAATGTGGTAAAATAAAGATAAACGCAAACGATTTACGACCCAAGCCATGCTTTTACTCTGTCAAGTGCATCCGAACATGAGCACAGCATTTCGTTCGTGTTTACAGAAAANAAAAGCGACTTATCGTTCCCTGCAAGCATTCAATTGAAAGCACCATCGCAGAACCATAGCAAACTCATCAACATCTAGAAGTAAGCAAGGTGGAAATGCAAAAACAAATTTACAACGCTTTACTACTCCTCTTCATCATCAATATCAACAACAACAACAACAACAACACGAACAAAGGGTGGAGACGTGGAGACTTCCCACACAAGAGAATTAATTTCACACGACCAGTGTGTACACCACTAAAACTAACGCAGCAGTGTATATTACAACCACACGAAAGCTACCGAGAATCGGAAAAAAACACTCATTCGTCAGTTAAAGCTCCTTCTTTGGAGACTTCTTCTTGAGAGAGCGTATCTTATCAAATGCATAAATAGGCAATGTTACGAGCAAAAGCCAATAGTACAATGAACTCCAGAATCTGAAACATAAATAAAGAGATATTTGGATTACATACAAAAGGAATTCTCTTGTAAGAAAACTACCTGTGCGTGTCCTTGAAATTTTTAAGAAGAAACCCAGTAGCTAGCATGTCGAAACCACGGAAACGAAGCGTGAAAAGATATCTTAAAATGAAAAGATGTCACTGGCCATCATCTTGGAAGATTTGCAATATTGTTGAACTAACGAGTATCGGAACCAAGCTGGTCGTTGGTTCGTCACTGGATCAACGGGAATATAACTGAAAATTATGTCCTCAACACTTGCGCACATTGGTACTATCAAGAAGGACCTGAAACCAAAACAATAATGCAGGAAGCGAGCAATAAACTGAATAATTAACGATAAGTTGGTATCTGGGATAATAATGCTAGCCTGTTTACCTCTCACACTACCCAGTGAACTACTGAACACACTTCAAAATGTTTAACTTATTTAATATCGCACTTTAATATCAAGCGGAATATTGTATTAACATTTCACACATATCGTTTGGCAAATTCTGGTAGGACATTCTCCACCGAAAGGGAGAGTTTTAACGAAGATCTTCTTTTATTAACATCAAACTTGCGAAAATTCTTATTGGACTCATATATTGAAGCCCATCCCATATAAAATAGAAATCCTTTGGGAAGACCGATGCAAAAAAAGAAATAGAATGATACAAACTGTAGAAAAAGAAAGAAAGGAAGGGAACGTGAAAAACTTCTTAGTTTTCTCTAAAGAAGTTAAGCTTGAAACCAAACGAACACCCATACAGTTATGTATGTAGCCTTCGCCAATGTATCTTTAATCAAAGCATTGGTTCACGTGAGAGCAAACTCACATAAAATATCCTGCGTAGGTTCCATGCCATAAAGCCGACACGAACATAGTCAATTCCACTCTGAAATGAACGCGAAAACTAGACACTCCCAGTTCCAACTTCAGGAACACCAACACTTGCTAAATCAATGTATGACAAACCTGTACATGCGATTCGCCCTGGAATGCACGTAAAGCGCCAACCAACTTTGCACAGATTTGTTCCACGATCGTATTCCACCACGAAAGCTGTCACCGAACTCGATCTTCAAAAATTTATAAGATTATGCTTTTTGCGCTACTGTGCAAATTCTACTTATGAGGTTTACTACTAATTTTGATAACGTGCTAAAAAATCAGCATATATTAACACCATTTCCCACGACAACTATCAATAAGCGGTAAACCTAAGAAGTGGTTCCTATAATGTGAACTGTCCCACTCGAAAAGAGTGAGAGAGCACTGTCAAGACATGAACTTGTTCATAGAAGTTTAGAAAATGGGGAAAAACATAAAGAAGCCTGATGGGAACGTCTACAATGAGATAAACGCTCTAGCTCAAATACCGACGATTAAGATTGGCCAGTTTATACGACAATATTTCATAATGTGGGCCTATACCAAGAACTACTACCAATCTTTCACGAGACTATGTAAAAACATATAAAACGTAAATTGCTGCCCACATTGATTCTTTATAGGAATTTTTTCGAATAGGAGAGGAAAGAATATCTATCACCTCAGGTATGTCTAGATTGACTATTGCTTCCGAATTGTAGGTGACCTCGGGTCGTCCTTTGAGTTGCCTGGAAAATAAGAGCATAATCGCGACTCCCATACCGATGTGTTCTGTGCTAACCTGTACTTCTCCAAATCGGTTGGCCCAACTACGATGCGCGGTTTTGCTTCTGAGGGATAGATCCCAATACCCAGAGTGACACAAATACTCTCCGCTACTGCCCATGCACTAAAAAATGTTTGCGAAGACGGCTTAAAAGATTTCGGGCAATAATGTAAACGATTCGATCGAAGAACACAACTGACGGAACTGAAAAATCAAGCTTACCTATAAACGCGCATGCGGAAAACAATAAAAACGGCTGCAGCATACAAAATACGTTGGAAAAAGTTCATTTCCCAAACGCTATCCGACCGGAGACCCTGTAAGCGATTTCATACATAAATTTTGCAACTTTTCAGGTAATAAATTGATTAGCTTGTCCACAGCATAAGAAGAACATGTAAACCTCTCAAACAAGGTGGGAAACATCCCTATTCATTTAGTGCAAACAACTCACATCAAGCGGATAGATGTGATTGAAAATGATGAAAAGCGGCACGCTCCAACACAGCCGTAAAGCTCTTTCGCGTATCTCCAAAAATGGCGACCAAGAGTGTAACAGAACCGACTCCTGAGAATCGAGTAGCATTTGATAGGTGTAGTATGGGCCTGCAGAGTAGATTAACATAGCACCAAACTTTTTGGTCGTTCTTCGCATGAATTTTCAGCCATTTTCATAGAAAATAGATACACTTACCAGTGAACAGTCCCGCGAAATGGTAAAAGTAATTGAGAATTTCCAGCAAGCTGGGCTCCTTATCAAGAAAACGTTTGGGTTTTTTCGCTTTCTCCGACTCAGATTGACCGAAACTGTAGTCGGAAATTTCAAACGAAAGTCCAATTACCTGAATAACCACACTACAGCGAATTCTTGAAATAATACATATATGTATTCAAAGATAGTTAATCACCCACCCTAAGCGTCATGATTAGTTGAACAACGTTAGCATGAGAGGCGAGTTCATTCACGTCAAGGAAGTAATGCAAGTACCGAATAACCATAAGGTATGCAAAAGAAGTAACAAACACCGCAGCTGTTAGATATCTGAAATATAGACTAAGTTACTCCACTTGGAAAACCATCAAAGCCTGTCTGTAAAGCCCTTTAATACCTGAACGGAAGTTCATTTGGTACACTTTTCACGAGCTTGGGATTGGTCATATGCTATTCGTGAAACAAAACGTTGCGTACATAATTTTTGCACAAGAACGGTTAAGTCCGAGGACAGTGTCATCTAACTTCTATCAAAGAAACTTTTTAGGGAAACCTTTCTATTCACTAAGAAAAGATTATGTAATTTTGCAGAGGCCACCTCAAAGGTCCCTGAGGGTCAAAGGCTATCCTATAATACATGGATCAGATGTTTTCTAAAGCACCCTACCCTCTCTTACAGCCTAACGCACACTTATGAACACAAGCCAAACACAGCAAACAGAGAGTCAATGTGTTTTTAACGAGGACCTTCATAGAACTTCAGTTAAAGCACAACTTCTCGCTGTGGAGAATCTCAAAGAAGAGGAAGTATAGCCTAAGACTTGGAAAAACAGTCAAGCACGGCACAGAACTTGGCCTACCTCATAATCTCAAAGCATTTCTCTGCTCTCCTTGAGCGAATTAAGAACTACAGACATACGCCCCATGCGAGATCCTGTAGTTCTTGCTCTTTAGGTTTGGTATTTAATTAAGCCATTCCTAAGTACCACTAAATCAACCTAACATCACGCAAAATGGAGGATATGCATGAAACTTACACTCGTAAGGCCTTCGCAGCGAAGCCAGAAATCTGAAGGACACTTTTCATGACCGGTGTAGGGGAGGAAACGAGGCCAATTACGCGCGCGCGGGATCAATACTCGCTTCTTAACACACGAGGTAATCTTATGGGATCCATGAGAACGCGTGTAAATTAGTGATGTTTATTCATGTTCTAACATTACTGAAAACTTGAAAATTTCTATCAGCCCATAGCTTACTGTCAATTTGCGCAAAGGTTACAACTGTGATTGATAGTGAAATAAAAAANNNAAAAAAAACTACTTACTTCCTTGGAGCGCACTTTATACAAATGACGGTGAACACCACCATGGGCACAGAGTAAAGCACTTTCTTCCCTGAAGCGTCTCTTTGTTATTGTTATAGTTCATCATCACTACGACCCTAGATGATACGTGCTTTCATTGGAACAGCAAGGAGTGCTTACAACCTCGAATAACTTACCTAGTACTATGAGGACCATCGTGAATCCTATTGGTCCTCCAGCATGTTTCAAGAGAAACGGGTTTTGCTGCAATCGTAAGACCCAGGATAGGGCGAAAGAGGTTGCCAAGATTGCTGAAATCAACTATGCTTTGGGTGCTGTAGAGAGGAATTGTAGAAAGCAATTCAATACCTGTATAGATCCAATCATCAGTCGATAGTAAACCTGGTAAAGATAATCCCATGGTAACTGTGAGGAACCAAAATCCTTCCTAATGGGCTGGAACACGTTTGTTCTTGTCCACTAGACGAACACTGTAAGGACGAACATGAGCTAAGTTTTACCGTAATCTCAAGCGTTAAATAATAGGTAAGTGTGCAACTACAGACTTCACCATTTGAACGGCAGCCTAACCACAAAAACGCGGACATCAAGTATTAGCTCTACGGAGTAAGTACCGAAACCACTATAATGGTTGTAAAAATCTGGCTGCAGGGAAGAAAGGGAGAGGCACTGTTTTTCGATCAAAAATGAGCATCAGAGCATAGTGAAGGAGGGGTGGACTTCACAGATTGGTTTAAAGGCCTCATGAATGAACGATACAGTAACCCTGCCGTGGATTACTGTTAAATTCATTCATGAGGCCTTAAAACCATATTTCGATGTCTACTCCTCCTTCACTGTGCTCTACCGATGGACTTTCTGTGGCACAAATCACCTCCCTTGTTAATACTGTTCAGGTCTTTGCTAATTCTTACGTCTGTGGCTACGACTCTTTTGTTCAGGACTTTTCAACTCTCCAAAGTGATGCCACCAGCAGGACTGGCGAGAAATTCGGCCCGTCACCTATGCTTTGCAATCACTTCTTTCAATATCCACTCCCTCTTTAATTCACAAAGCCAGCATGTATCCCTGATGTAACGGACGCCTATTTTCACCGAATCTACGAGTGCCGTCGTGTAGTATTGGCAAGTAGGACCCACACCTTTCGTCGATCGCCATGTAAAAATATTATGAGACGCGGGACAAATGTGTCTAACTTAACTAATACTGTTTTCCCAAAACGAGGAACTGTCAGACAGAGCCTAATGCTTTCTCAAGGGTGAACGGTAATCATGTTCGGGATTACCGCACGGTTGATCCTCACAGCTACTAAGCAACACCAATGAAATATCAGATTTATTAAATAAGTGCTCGAGTTATATGGAGATCAGTCCGGTCGCTGAAATTGGCAGAGATTGGCTGGTGAGTAGCTCATTAGTAGGCGGAAGAACGGGCCCAGAGGCGACTGCCAGGATGGACAGGGGCAGCGGGCGTGCGGCTTAATGGTCGGACATAGTTGCTGACGACTGTACTCTCTCAGTAGACGACGAGTAGAACCTTAATCATGCGTGGTAAGATGAGTCATCACTACCGTAACATAACATTCCAGTGTTATGCCATATTGCAATGAAAAGCTCCCTTGATCTATGCTCACGCTATTTACCGGTTATTGACGCTCACTCATACCCCAAAAAAGTCCGTCCTCGGTCCTTGACAAAGGGACGGAGGAAAGGGAGACCTACCCT